CGCTTAACCAACTGAGCCACCCAGGCGCCCTGGATTTTGGGGTTTAGACAGATAAATGGATTTTGAACCTGTAGATAAAAAGGAAGAGATGAGAAAGAACTAAAAAGGAGAAATATCGGCCAGCGAAGCAGAAGGAAATCCAAGAGAGCAGCACCCCCAAAGCCAAGGAAAAAGAAGTTTCAAGAAGAGAGGGAGAGACCAACTATGTCAGATGTGTCAAAGGATAAGGATGAGAATTTGATTTGGGAACAAGGCAGACACTGGAGACCTTGCAAACCAGCCCAGAAACACAGCTGCTAAAGAAACCCAAATATTTAGGGATTATTTCTAAAACTAAACAGGCAAAACTTTAAGGATCATGAGATTTTTTTAAGGGAACCCATGAGTTAAAATTTCTAAAAGAAACTATGCTCCTATTTGAGATCCAGATTAAATCTGTTCAGTCAAAAAAATTAATATGTAAGAAATAGGTTTATTCCAGGGGCGCCTGGGTGGCTCAGTCGTTAAGCGTCTGCCTTCGGCTCAAGTCATGATCCCAGGGTCCTGGGATCGAGCCCCGCATCAGGCTCCCTGCTTCGCAGGAAGCCTGTTTCTCCCTCTCCCACCCCCCCCTGCTTGTGTTCCTTCTCTGGCTGTCTTTCTCTCTGTCAAATAAATAAAACCTTTAAAAAAAAAAAAAAAGAAATAGGTTTATTCCAAAACCCATTAGCCTAACAGTCAAGAAGGTCCTTGGAACCTTAATTTCTTTGGATACTTGCTTAAAATTAAATTCTTTGGCTACAGGATTGGAGAGTCTAGCAGCTTAAAAAAGAAGAAAAGGCAGGTGGGCATCTCATAACTCTCTGATGAATCAGTGAGAGGCAGCAAAATTATTCCTCTCCTTTCCTGACACCTGCTACATGGAGTAGCTTCAGCAACACCAAGTGGATTGGTATGGCCTGAGAAGGTATAATTAGAATAGGAAGGAGCCAAAGAATAATTACTGCTTAGTAGGGGGAAAACCCTTACAATCTCACTATGAAGGAATAAGACATAGCTTAACTCAGGAATCATACACCCTTTTTTTCAATTGCACGAATTATACAAAATCATACTTAAAAACAAAACAGAGGTAGTCAGAGAAAGTACTTGTTACATGAATCTCTTTGTTGCAATTCCTACTGAGTCAGAGATACCATGAGTTAATGATGAATATACTGTAACAATAATTGAAGATTATGGGGTTGAGTTACAGCTGATTTTCAAATAATTATTACATATCTTTTTTAAAGATTTTACTTATTTATTTCAGAGAGAGAGCAAAGGTTGTGAGGAAGGGAGTGGGAGAAGCAGACTCCCCGCTGAGCAGGGAGCCCAAGCCGGGGCTCAATCCCAGGACCCTGAGTTCATGACCTGAGCCAAAGGCAGACCTTAACCAACTGAGCCACCCAGGCGCCCCTTATTATATATCTTTTTATGTAAAAGTCCAGGTAAAACAATTTTTGTAACAAAGCGAGTACTATGGTCAGAGTAAAGTGGCTCTTATTGAGTATCAAAGTAACCTAGCTAGGGGACTTTCGAATATAGAGAAGTCCAAGGCTTATCATTAGGGAATGGCCAAATATCTCATTTGGTAACTGCAGGCATGTGGTTTGTAAGCAAAATTGCTAGAAGAGATGGTATGACTGTTGGCTCTCATGAGGAGGTCATTAAGGTTGAAAGTATGTTCAAAGAGAAATCATAATTGTATGAAAAAGAGAAGATAATTTTTTTTAATGCCAATGTCCAGGATTAGGTGAAAGTTCCTGTGGGAGATAAAATGCCAATAAAGACTACCCCCAAAAATGTATCCAGGGAAAACTTTTTGAGGAAAAATCCAAGTGGAAATGAAAGTATACTACAGCTGAATTACTCCAGCTTCAAGTTAATTTTAGTAGGACAGGTGATCTCAGTGTAACCACTTATACATATTAACTGTGAGAATGAAGTATAAGAATGAATTTTAACTAAATATAACCATGTGCATACTGTACAGTGTTCTAACAGCTAATGAATCATCAAATCCATTGTTATTTGCCATCATCTTTTCTCTACAAGCTCTACCATTATAAAAGACAGCAGCTGCTTATGGACAAACTGCTGCTTCCTCTGAACAACGTAATTTCATAGAACCTTCACAGCACTGTATCCTACAAAGAACAAGATCTGACTTAAATTAGCGCCTCTCCGTAGCTTTTTCATACTATCTTCTACTTGTTCAACTCATTATAGAAACTCAGGAAAAAAATAGCAAGTTTCAGGGAATAAACAGGTGAATATAGAAAACAATCTTAACTGTAAAAAAAAACAAAAATTATGTCTATAGACAAGAGTCGATTAGAACTTTTCAGAAACTTCTTTCCTCTAGCCTTTGTAGATCTTGATTGGTACCTGGTCCACTCTTCGCAAAAGGGTCTCAGGAGAAATGTTAGATACCAAGAATGTTTCCTGGCATGCCCCATGCAAGTGAAGGGTGCAACATAACCCATTCCTGCTAATGCCCCTGGAAGGTGAACTGAAGAATGGATCCTACATTCTCTAGTACCAAATCTAGATCCCCATTATATACACTAACCCTGGGACTGGCCTCTTTCTCTTCAGGTTTTTAAAAACAGATCCCAAATACTACTCTGCCATCCCAGTGTAACTTTACCAGTCAACAGAGTACAATGGAGACTTAAAGTGTAGACAATGCTGTGGAGAATTATGGCCCACATCCCTCGTGTCTTATAAATATCTGCCTACATAATCCAACTGTATTCCTATTTCATTTTGTTTTTACTCTTCGAAGGTTTTTTCCTATGCATAGGGGTATCCATCCATTTTAAAAATACACTGTGATAATGTGTGTGTGTGTGTGTATACAGTGAATATCCCTGCACACATTCCTGATTTTATGCTTAGAAAAATTCTTTGACATGAAATTTGGGGGCCATTTGTGAAGGTTTGTGAAGGTTCTTAATAACATACTACCAAAACTTCCCTCCAGAAATGTTGTGCCAGTTAATACTCCCACCAGAATATGAAAGTACTTTTTTTAACCCTTAAACTCTGAGTATATGTTTTAATAACTGAAAATACTTAAATAGGCAAAAATGGAATTCTGATCTTTTGTCTTTTATGAACAGTCTGATAACGACTTTCCTGTTTTTCTACCACAGGGGGAAGAGTTCAACTTTTCCCTTTTGTTTTGTAAGAGTCTTAAAATATATTACAGATACCATGCATTTTGCCATGGATGTGTTCCTATTTCAAAAAATTGAATGCCAAACGCAGAGTAATATAGGAATGTAGCGCAATGCACAATGCCACACTAAAACAGCTATATTAACTAAGCAGAGTCAAAAGACTTTGAATCATCAGAAGCAATTACTTCTATGACTCCAACATTTGTAAAACTGTAACAACTATAAAAACACCTGCCTGATTATTCGTTAAGAAACAGTTTTTCTGTAACCTACATATTACCACATGCAAAAAATCCAACAGACAAATAATATTCCGAAGAGTTTACATTTTACTGTTTAGAGCTTTTCAGGCTCTCCATGATAAAGCAGAAAACGACATTGTGGGACTATGGGTCCTCGGTTTCTTTTTTTATACAACGAAGAGGTGTTTTAAACCAGAGGCTTCTTAGATCTCTTCTAGAACTGATATTCTCAGTCTCCAAAAGGGCACCATGCTAAGATGGCTAATATGCTGAAAGAGCCGTACCAATATTAAGTTTCAAAGGCAAGAAATAGCCTCAGCTATGATCCACAGTTCCTATTACACAAAATAGTTGAGAAACTCCACGTACTGATAGGATAGCACATTAGTCAATACAGAAATGGCTTTATCCTGGGATTCTCGCTGATAAAGAACTCCACTCCATGAATATATACAATAGTTAGGATGTGATGCTGGAAAACTCATACGACTGGTTGGCAATTCAAGGATGTTAAGATTTTGCAGTAATCAGACCAAACGCAGGTGGCAAGCTTACCTGGAATATGACCACACGAAATTTGTTTTTCTTCATTATTTCCTCTTGCTTGGATTCAACTTTTTTCACGTGAATTTGCTGCCTCTCTACCTGGGCCTTCACGTCTTTAATGTGAGCACTGATTTTTCGCGTTTTCTCAAACAACTTGTTAATGACGTAGACTGTATTGCTGTGTGACTGTGAGAGCTTCAACAGGTCAATCTGGACGGACTTTATGGCATTTCCCATTTCCCTGTGTCTCTCCTCTAGTCTCTTCTGGCTTGCCTGCACGCTGTCCACGATGGTGGCTACTTTGTCCAGCACGGTCACAATGGTGAGAGCAGCGTCTTGGTCTTCATCTTCTGTAACGCTCGACAGGCGATTCTGGTGGATTTTATCTGCATTTGAAGCTGACCCATTATGTTCCATTTTAGTTATTTCTCAGTGAAAGATGTCCCACCACAATCAGTTCTGGCGCTAAGAGTAAAAAGTTAGCTTGGTAACAGGCAACAGGGTTGTTTAAAGGGTTGGAAACCCCACCCCTGGAGACTGGTCAAGTATTTATAACTACAAATACCCACACATGACTGTTCTGCAACATGAACCCTTGTAGAGCACTGGGTACTGTTCCAAACATGCTTGGCGACTGACTAATGGACTCAAATAAGTCTGTGTGGAGAGAAGAGGAAAGCTTTAAAAAAAAAAAAAAAAGTTCCCCGAAGCCGCCATGTTACTAATATTAAGCCTAGAAGCCAAATGACCAGAAAAGCAAATGCTGCATGTTGGGCAAAGCTTCTGTCTTTAGATAATTTCAAGCAGTATTTGCAAAAGCAAAGGGGAATTTTGAACTGAAATCTTTTCCTACTTACTTCACGTATTAAATGTACTGATTTATCAATAGGAAAGAACGTGGTAAATAAACACACCAAAACAGAGGCCATATAGTGAAAACATTATATTATAACATGCTTTTCCAAACCAAATATTAAAATTAATATTTAATTTTGAACATATTCTTAAATTCTACATGCATATATCTAAACTACAAGTTAAACAGCTGAATACATTCTACTCACACTTCAGATCTTTAAACACCAACAACCTATTAATACAGCTATTACTACAGGACAAATTTGGATAGAGGTCTTAGATAATTTTTAAGCTCACCTTAAGAGCACCAATCATTAACAATCATTTTTGCATTTTATTCACAAACACGGATACACTTTGTTTATTTATGTTAAAACAAATATTTTCTTAAAAATGAATGTGTATCAAGGTAGTTTAACTGATAGAGAAGGCTTTATTCCAATCTGTTTGTTAAACAGACTATTTTCACAATATCTAAAAATCTACTTTCCAGTGATCTGTTCCATCTTTGCTACCAGATACTTTTCCGAATTATCAGAATTATTTTTTCAAAGAGAGGAATAATCAAATTCCAATCCATACAACTTACAAATATTTTACATCTAACACACACAACTTTACAGTTCATGCGATAGGCAGTGTCTAAAAAATCAGTTACTAAATCTCAAAAACATTTAAATGTCTATTTAAACACAGTGTCTTCTAGATTTTTTTATCTTTTTTTTTTGTAAGAAAAGTAATCTGTAAACATCTTTACCTTTAGTTCATGCTTGGTCATTTGTTGTGGTCATTGTGGAAGAAGTGGGTATGACTTTATAACCATTTGTGAAGTGGTCCATCTTTGCAAAAATATTACATTCCATGGGTAAAGAACAAGTCTTAGAATTACCATGTGGTATAAATTTGTGAAATCAATTTCTGTATTTAAAAACATAAAACAAAGACTACTAAACAGTCCAAAACTGTTGTAGCTGAATATTCTAAATACGAGCCAACAGTACTACACTAAAAATGTCCAAAAATAAGGCCTCTGAAATAAATATTTCCATTCTTTAAAAAAAGACATAATAAATGTACATCACATGGTTAGTGTACATATAAAAGTCATCAGTTTAAACCATTCTGGATGATGTATCTGAAGTAAAATGACCTAGGTTTTGCTTCTGTCGCCGTCCTCTGTTGTTTTTAGGGCATTTTCTGTTGAGTTAAAAAAAAAAAAAGAAAGAAAAAGGTCATTTTGTTTAAGAGATTTCAAATGTTTCCAAAGTAATACACGTTTCACACACAAAGCCATATTAGGAAAGAGGATGCTGTTTGATGCAAGACAAGCTGAGGACCAACATGTCAGACTGCTGTCTTCCCTACACAGCTGGGAGGTGAGAGGGTTAGGTACGGGATGCAGGTGTGAGCACAAGCAAAGCTCACTCCTGGGTCTCTATTGCTGCATATGCCTCCCTGAGAGGAATCCCCGCCCTTCTTCTGACCTGGCAACTCCCTAGCCACAGTGACTGATAACACATAAACCTCGAACAGTAGAAAGGATCCTGGCCTATGTGCTTTTCCTGAGCATTAGGACACCCCCAAAATGACAAGAACAGCTTGGATGAAGGAGTAATTAGGAAGAAGTGTGCATGCACAGGAATGAATACGTAGGAAATGCTTAGTGATTTTAGACAATGACTCAAAAGAAGTTGTTCCACAGCCTGCTTGAGCAAACCACAGAACCCGATAAAGAACTGTCACGCCGGGGATAAGGGATAGTCCTTGACTCTGCTCTCATTTTACCGTACCTGTTTCTCCATGGTGGTATAAATCTCATTGTGTTGTACCCGCTCTTGTGTCTGCCCACTAGAATGCAAACACACGAGTGCTGTGGTATGCAACGTGGAACAAAGGCACTGGGATCAATTCTGGTAATTTTGAGCTCGGGCTCTGCTAAAAACTAGCTGTGCAACACCCTTTTCCCATATATGAAATATTAAAAATTGAACCAACCTCTAAGATCCCTGCCAGCAAGGAATTTATAATCTAATGGAAAGAAAGTCTTGCAACAAGGAGTGCTCCTAAAGTTCCATGTTTTTAATTCAGTTTCAAAAAGCACTGCTTTGCTTGACTTAAAAACTTTGATGGTAACACTTCCATTTCATATACTGTATTTCATAAATTTTATCTCACTAATTCTCACTAAAAACATTCTGAGGGAGACAGTGATAGAATCATCTCCATTTCATGGTTGAGAGGCCAAGCAAACCTCTTTAACTGTCACCAACTCACCATGACATTGGAAGAGTTCCAACTCTCTGGAGCCATGGTTTTGTCATCTATAAAAAAAAAAGGGGTTTGGCTAGGGTAATGCTTGAGGTCCCTGCTATTCTATCATTCTAAGAGTGTAAAAATATGAAAGAAGATTCCAAGCATAAAAGAAGAAAGTTTTACTCATGCAGTTTTGATACATGAGTCAGTGGGAACATCCTTTTAAAGGGAGATTCCTCACATGGGACAGCCACCATGGTATAAGTGAACAGCTGTCCCATAACGGACTATGTGGGAGAGGCACTCCTTAAAAATTCAGTGGAGCTAAGTCCAAGTACATGATTATAATATTCTAAATTCATGAAGCAAAACATTTGAGGGGAGAAAACACCACAATAAGAAGACAGGCTGCCAGGATAAATGTAGGATAAATTCAACAAGATGGCCCTTCAGTCACGGAGACGATGGGCAGTGAAGACAGTGTAACATGGTTGCAAAAACACTGTGATGTTCAAAGTGTGTTTGAAGGTAGCGAATGGATCTGGGATATCAGCTAGAAGGCACGGACTTGAAAACTATCTGTCAGGTAATTTTAACTTAGTAGAATTAGAATTTAGAAGATTATAGCACACTGAGAACAGAAGCAAAGAGCAAGATAAAAGGCTGGATTAGGATTTGTAAAAGGGCTTAACTATCTCCCTGATCTTAAGTAAGGTACTTCCCCCATCCAGGCCCTCAAGTTTCCTTACTTCTCTAGAACAGAAGGGGTTGACTCAAAGTTGCTTCCTGCTGACTCAACCATCCTTTGATCTTCTTAAAGATGACACTATCACCGGGCCTCAAAAGCCTCCCTCATCTTTACCTTATTTCTTTCTCTCACCCTCCATATAATTCATTACTCCACTCCAGCTTTCCTCGAATAATGTCCTATATGGTTCCCCTGACCTCCAGTGAAATTTTGCAGATGACACTCAGATCAATGCTCTGAAAAAAATGATTCATACCAAGTCGTCCCCGTGACTGTTCAAAAATCAAGTCTGAACCTTGCTCCCACGCAATGGTCATACCTGGCAAATATATTTCCTGAGATGACTCAACATGGACCCTCCTCTTGAAGGTTCAGTGGAAAGAGGAATGCTCTGGAAATAAGGCAGCACTGAATCCAAATCCAGGCACTTCCACTTACTAGTTGGATGACCACAGGCAAATTACTTAACTTCTAAGCCTATATTAAACGGCCACAGGCAGCCCTGCTGTTATATGGGTTTCTTCTATTTGCCCTTTCTGCTGTCATTATTTTTTAATCATTTCATCCCTATTTTAATCTACTGCCCCATTTTTTTTTAAAGATTTTATTTATTTGACAGAGAGAGACACAGCAGAGAGAGGGAACACAAGCAGGGGGAGTGGGAAAGGGAGAAGCAGGCTCCCCGCGGAGCAGGGAGCCCAATGCAGGGCTCGATCCCAGGACCCTGGGATCATGACCTGAGCCAAAGGCAGACGCTTAATGACTGAGCCACCCAGGCGCCCCCCCTACCCCCACCCCCCGTTCACAGTTCTGTTAATGCTACAGGGCAGGTGCTACTCTCTCACTTAGGAAAATACAAAGGCCCCAGTAACTGGTCTCCCTGCCTCTGGTATGGTAATAAGAGCATCCCTTTGTAAACATAAATCATGGCACTCCATGGCTTAAAATCCATCAATGGCTCTCTATGGCTTTTGACATAAAACCCAAAACACCTTCACACAACCTCCATAGCTGAATCTTGCCTTGAATTCTGTTATTTAGCTGACTTTTCATTAGTCTTCAAATGGCAACTGAAGCATCATTTTCTCTAGCTTTCCCTGGCAGCCCCTAGCCCGCTTGTTAGATGCTTTTCCTCTGTGGTCCCATCATCCTTTCTTAAATCTGAGGCTCCTATCAAAACAATATTGGTGATAGACATTGGGGAGGGTATATGCTATGGTGAGCGCCATGAATTGTCTAAGACTGATGAATCACAGACCTGTACCTCTGAAACAAATAATACATCATACGTTAAAAAAAAAAAGAAGATAGTAGGAAGGGTAAAATGAAGGGGGGGAAATCGGAGGGCAAGATGAACCATGAGAGACTATGGATTCTGAGAAACAAACAGAGGGTTCTAGAGGGGAGGGGGCTGGGGGGATGGGTTAGCCTGGGTGATGGGTATTAAAGAGGGCACATAGTGAATGGAGCACTGGGTGTTAAACACAAACAATGAATCATGGAACACTACATCAAAAACTAATGATGTAATGTATGGTGATTAACATAACAATAAATAAAATAAAATAAACCAATATTGGGTTACCTAACTCCTCCACCAGGGGAAGAAATCCTTAACTGCAAGAACCATGTCCTTCATGATATTTAATGATAGCTAGCACATGGGAGGCTCCCCCAAGTGCTGGTGACCCAAAGAGGAATAAAATACAATTCCTGCCCTTGAGAAGCATAGTCTAGTCTAGAAGGCAGTTAAACAAATAAACTAGAATACAATATAAGTGCTACGATAGATGTATGATCAGAATTCTGTACAAAGCATCTTCCATTCCTACAGTTCCATCATCTTATACACAGCACTACTCACGTTGCTGAATTTTTGCTTGACTGTCTCCCAGAACAGTGTAAGCCCAGGATAAGGGTTGGGAAAGTGGAGGGGAGGGGGAGACACAGACTGTGTTCTATTTATCTTTGAATCCTCAGTGCCTGACATAGAAGCTGGCATATAAGGGTGCTGTATATATTGAATATATGGAGTAATTAAGCATACCCTTCCTGAGGGGTGGGAGGTGACCAAAGAAAGCTAAAATGAGGAAACTGACATTATCACTGAACTTGAAAGTCATCACCCAGAATGAAAGGGAGACAAATGGCTGAGCAAAGGCATCAAGAGGCAGAGCAGTTGGGGGAGGGGAGAGGCTGGACAAGCACAGCTGATTTTAAAAAGATGAACAAAGGGGGCGCCTGCGTGGCTCAGTCTGTTAAGCGTCTGCCTTCGGCTCAGGTCGTGATCCTGCCCCGTATCGTGCTCCCTGCTTGGCGGGGAGTCTGCTTCTCCCTCTCCCTCTGCCTGCCACTCTGCCTACTTGTGCTCTCTCTCTGTCAAATAAATAAATAAAATCTTTTTAAAAAAAATGCACAAAGTAAATTCAAAGCCTGAGTATATTCTACCACTTCACTCCGTCCTCTCAGGGATCCTTGGATATCCTAGGAGACTCACAATGAAGAGGTACTTATCCTAGGTCCCCTATCTACCTATAAAATACACTGAAAAATTCTGACCTGGTAAGGACAGCTATAAATCCTCACGCATCACATAACTCAGAGGTAGTTGGTCCCAAGAATCATATACAAAACTCAGCACTAAGGCTTCTTCATTTTTCATTCACTTACAAACTAGGTAATAGCATGCCCAAAATTCAAATAGAATTGAGGATAAAACCATAGTCATCATTCCGCATAGTCTTGACTCAAATATGCCAGAGCAATTTATTTTGGGAATGTAAACTGTAATTTTTTTAGTAGGGTTCAATAAAAGAAGCTGTAGAAAACATGTCTCAGGAAAAAAAAAAAAAAAGGCTCAGTAATTTGGGCCTAGAATGGAATTGTACAGCTAACAATGATTCTGTGAAATATTTTATGTAACAGAACCCATGCTCTTTACCTGATAAGAGTTACAGTGAACTTCAGGCTTCATTCTAAACCAAACTCTTAAATGTGCATAAAAGGCAGAGAATGAAGTCAAAATGAAAATATTGTATTTCAGTTTGTATTTTTAATTTATGAAAACTTGTCAAAAGGAGATCACACACACACACACCCCCAACACATTCCCAGTAAGCTGGACTTTCATGCTCCTCTCATCACTACTGTACATTTGGCCTGTTTTAACGAACAAGCCAGAACCAGGCCACCATAAACTCTCAGAGGAAAGCCCCTGGATCTGCCATGCATAGAAGACAGAACTGCACCACCGAGGCTCCATGCCCTTGGTGTCTATGGATGTTGCACGATTTTGCCCCATAAAAGGAAAAAAAGATAAATCCTGCTCATGTTTTGTTTTTTTTAATTTTTTTTAAAGATTTTTATTTATTTATTTGACAGCGAGAGACACAGCAAGAGAGGGAACACAAGCAGGGGGAGTGGGAGAGGGAGAAGCAGGCTTCCCACCGAGCAGGGAGCCGGATGCGGGGCTCAATCCCAGGCCCCTGGGATCATGACCGGAGCCAAAGGCAGACACTTAACGACTGAGCCACCCAGGCACCCCCCTGCTCATGTTTTTATTGAATAAATTGTTGAGAATCAGAAAATCTGTTCTGTGTTGTCTGAAACTTCTGAACTAAGGGACTTTGACGAGAATATTCTTTGCATTAAATGGTGATGTGTGATTTTACAGCCTATAATAAATACACACTCATCAAGAACACCGGGTGAAAAGGGAAGAAATTATGAATTGGGAATCGAGAAATACACTAAATATGGTGGAAAATGTCAAGAGACAGAAGCAATATGAAGGGTAAAATCCTAGTACCAAGAAAGCAGTATAAGGTTTCAGTAAAATTCTGGTAACATTCTATTGTGTTTCTGTGGTGTACAAAGTCTACCAGGATGAAAAGCTGACCAGGTTATAATGCTTTCCACATCAAAATTCAAATATATCTATATGGGAAATGTTCCATAATGTCAAGTCTCGTGATATAATAGGTCAGTAAGCAAACAAACTTTACAAAAACTTGACAGTAATATTTGCAGAAAAATATTGTAGCCCAATTGATATTTACTCTGCGTAGGGCTAGAAAAAAGAAAAAGCTTACAACTTCTTATATTCTTCTTAACTTAGAAACCTATCTATTATGAGAAGGGTTACTATATCAAATTCATGCCATGTTATTTGCATTATTAGTGAAAATATTTACAAATAGGATACCAACATCAAACTTTGTAATATTATCCTTTTAAAATTCAAAAAAAAAATTTTTTAAAGATTTTATTTATTTGACAGAGAGAGACACAGTGAAAGAGGGAACACAAGCAGGGGGAGTGGGAGAGGGAGAAGCAGGCTATCTGCTGAGCAGGGAGCCCGATGCGGGGCTCGATGCGGGGCTCAATCCCAGGACTCTGGGATCATGACTTGAGCCAAAGGCAGATGCTTAACCGACTGAGCCACCCAGGTGCCCCTTAAAATTCAAATTTATTATGGCTTTAAGGAAATGCGTGACAAGGCATCCAAGTTCTTTCTAAACTACAACAATTTTTTTAAATTGTTCTTTTCAAAGAATGTTGTAAACACTTTAGTTTTCAATATAAAAAGATAATTGAGATGCACAATTCATGACTTTATGTATTCTTGCAGAATGAAGAGGGAATGATGTTGAATCAAACTCGCAAACCCAAATATCTGGGTAACCAAGTCAAATACTTTAAAGCTGATATGTGTGTGTCTGTCTCTGTGTATCTGTGTATATTATAAATTTTAACTACTACAGGAGCACCCCAAATTCATCTGAAAGCTGCCTGTCTAAACTCTTCAAATTCAACAGTTCCATCATTTCTTCCCCATTATAAAACCAGAAGATTTAAACACACCAGAAGTGCAGAACTAGTATGACCATTTCTCTCATTAGAAGAGATTGGTCCAGATTGGCTAGATCTAAAACTAATGGTTAAGTGGAGTCTGGCTTCCTCCCAAACCAGCTACAATGAATTCCTATGATCACTGTTTTGGACAGACAGGCCCTGAGGGGTTCGCTCTGGAAAACAGAAACATGAGGTCATTTCCAAACCCACTGCATCAGGACAGACTTTAGAAAGTCCTCTTGAAGACACACATAGTTTTACGCTTCATGCAGCTCAAATGGCTCTAGTCTACCATAGCTCTAAATCTAAAGAAAATTAGAAAAAGAGTTTCCAGGAAACATTTTAAGACCCTACCCAAGGTTGGATTTTAATCTTTGACCAAAAAAATTCAAACATTTATTTCTCATTCCTTATTCTGTGAAAAGGTTTCTGAAGACCAACTTCAGCTTCTGTCCAACCTAGGTCCTCAATGCTTGGCACATTGAGAAGGTATAATTATGTCAGAAGGTATAATTATTTCAATTCTGTTCCTGAGGAACCAGTGGGGTTTGTTTTCCTCTGGATGTGCTGTTTCCCCAGAATGTGTAACATTTCCTTTGACCTTCACAACAGTCCTCTGAGATGGGATAGACAAACCCTCTCCATTTTACTGATGAGTTTACTGGCAGGTGATCTGCCAGGTGGCTTGGTGTAAGCAAAGCTATAATGCCAGAACCAAATGCTCAAGTCCAGAACTCCATATTTTTTACGAAAAGCATCAAAAAGAGGTGTGACTACTAATTGACTAATGAATCTATTTGAACATATGGAGGACATAATCCACACATGGGTAATTCCCCTTTGAGCTTGGCCACAACACCCATCTAGACCAAAATTGAGAGTTCACTTGCAAATGATGGCTACAAATATGCCCTTCATATGTTTTAGACACCAAACACCTAATTGGCCCTCGCTAAGAAACTACTTTTCCTGCTGGGCAAGAGAAAAGAACTTAAAAATCCACAGCTGCCATGAGAATGACTTAAAAGGGAAAGCTGATAGAATCATATAAGCCCAGGGGAAAAAAAAGAATTTCCAAGGAAGTTATAAGGAAATGTATAGAATACTTGTGTTATCTTTAAGATTTTAAACATCAGAAATGAAACCAGCCGTATCATTCATGTTTTCCTATGAACAAATGTAAATTACTATTTTATAAATGTAAATGACTATACTATTTAAACAAGAAGCTTGTGATTAAAGAGATTTATATTATGCTTAGTTCCTCTTTGTGATTATTGCTTTAAATCTAGCAAAAGAGATTCATCATTCTCCACTTTCACCTGGGGTTTAAAAGTAACTTTTAAAGGCTCAGGGGTGGGGATCTCTCCTCCTTCTATGGGAGGATACACCGCCCTGGCCTCCTCGTGGTCTGTTTCACTGAGCTCATCAGTGTAGAGCTCACTGATGGGGCCCAGAGACTTGCTCCTGGCAATGATGTCCACACCCATCTCCCTGACCTCCTCTGCATCTTCGGCCATAGTTTGGTCTTTAGCTTTCCGAAGGCTACGCATCTTAAAAGCTTCCCTTGAGGGAGCTGCATTAGAAATGGATTTCTTAAACCTTTCCCCTGACTGTTTCAGCCTCTCTCCAGACTGCCTTAACCTTTCTCCTGACTGCCTTAGCCTTTCTCTCCTCTCTGGGGTCACTATTCTTGTTCTAATTCTGTTCACTTTCTTGTCAAGATTCTGTCGTGTCTTCTGCATGTTTTCTTTGGAAAATGCCTTTTTGATATTATCAATGCGCTCCCTGCCTGACTTTCTAAGCCTGGCAGATCTGCTTTCTTCAACATAATATTCTTCATCTGAAGACAGATCTATTGGAGGGTCAAAGACATCATCATCGGTCTCTTGATTCTCAGTTAGGCTTCTGTCTTTAACAATAGACAGGGATGTCGGACACCGAGTCTCCTCCTGAAGGAGAGAAAAAGAAAGCACGTTAGATACCAGTTCTTTTACCTTCTGGCCATGCCTTTTCCATCTCCTCCATGGGCTGTGCACCCTGTCTGCTCCTTAACTGTTGGTTTTTCTCAGGGTTTCTCTCTCCTTGTCTCTCGTTGCTTCATTTCCCAAGCTCAACTGGAGCAACCTGATCCATTCCTCTGCTTTCAGATCCAGTGCTAAGCAAACACCAGTTTTTATCTTCACCTCTCCCCTTCTCCTAAGATGAAGACACAATTCTAAATGACAAACAGATGTTACCTCGATGTAACAGAGACACCTCAAACTTAACATGTCCAGGAGCGCCTGGGTGCCTCGGTTGGTTAAGTGTCCGACTCTTGGTTTCAGCTCAGGTCTTTTTTTTTTTTTTTAAAGATCCAGGTTGGGGCACCTGGGTGGGTCAGT